CCACTCTCCTTAGCAGTCTTCCCTGTAGACTCATGTAGGGCTTCCACTCCCATCCCAATCTCCCACACGTGTCATCGGCCCTCCTTAGCTGTCAGAGAGCCCGGGACCTGACTTGTTTCAGTTGGCACCTGGCAACCCTGATTAGATTTGAAATCTGTTAACAAGGGAGAAGGGGGAATGGCTGTTGGGCAGGAAACCTGCAGTGTCTGCCACAGGGCTGCTGTGGCCGCATGTGCCCCCGGAGCTCACGTGCTGGAAACTTGACCCCCAGTGCGGCCGTGTTTGGTGGCGGGGCCTGGTGGGAGGTGTGTGTGTGTGTGGTTGGGGGGAGGTCTGCCCTCACCAGTGGATTAATGCTGTTATTGCAGGCCTGCGTTCAGTCATGGAAATGCGTTCCTTTTAAAAGGACAAGGCCAGCCCCCTCTTGTCTCTCTTGCTCTCTCTTTGCCCTTCCTTTTGGAAAGAGATAGCAAGAAGGCCCTCGCTTATGCTGACACCTCAGTCTGGACTTCCCAGGCTCCAGAACCATACATCAATACATTTCTGTTCATTATAAATTACCCAGCCTATGCTATTCTGTTATCATAGTATAGAGCTAAGACAGGTACCTTTCAGACCACGTTCTTTACCTTGAAGGAGGAGGCTGAGAAAGAAGACAGCTGGGTTTTTGCTGCTTTTCTTCCTAATCAATTCATCTTTGACACAGATTCTCCACATACCACTCCACAAAGCAAAAACCAAGCAGCGACATAGCCATTAGGCCAGCCGCTGGTCCCAATGTTATTTCTGAATTTTGAAACCTCTTCTTTTTAAACATCTTCTATGCACTAAACAACTAGTAGATATCCAAAGGTTTTTCAACACTCTCCCCAAATGTATTCTCTAAAGTCACTGGGAACTTTTTCCAAAGAAATTCTAGAGACATTTAACTACGCCAAAACGCTTTACCTGTGTGTGGTCTAAGGGGCTGCTTGCCAAGAAAAATCCATCCTCTGAATAAGTGAACCCAAAGAGATTACTGTTCCGTGGAAGCAGGCCAGCTTAGGGTCTACCAAGACTGCAGCCATCTTGAAATTTAGAAAGGCCTCTAAATGAGAACCATCTGACCAAGTGCTGAGTCATAGGGGCAGACGAGAACCCAGGAGTACTTGAAGGAATCTGGAGAAAGACTCAGGAGAAAGCGTCTGACGGAGATTGATTATGGCGAGGCGTGGCTGGCAGGTGCTTCTATCTTGCGCCTACCTCCACGGAGAACTCGAGCTTTTTGAGACAGTGTGATGGGACTTGCTGCCTGTGTCCCTGTCACCAGTTACGGAAACAAGCTCCCTTCTCCAGCCTCTGCTCTTGTCTCACTGGCCTTGAGAAGCAGCAGCTGGATGTGCTTGGCCGGGAACACCAGGGCCCAGGGTCTACCCGTGAGGAGGACAGTCTGAGTTCCTGGGGCTGGCTCACCTCGTGGGGCGGACAGACAATAAGCAAATATGGGATGGGATTAGGTGCTCTGGTGGAAGGTCAAATACCGTGAGGGGATGGAGAGTGGGAAGTACTTTTAGAAGGGTAACCTAGAGGGACCAGCAGTTAGCATAATGGCTGTGTCGCTGGACTCCCACGTAATCAACCGCGGTTCACGTCCCGGACCCAGTGGCTTAAAACTCATGCCGGGTGCGTGTGCGTGCGTGCCCAAGATCCTGAGAGGAGAATGGAGGAGAAGGGATTGTGGCATGGCCATCCCCCCGGGGGGTGATTTCTCACTTTCTGTCTCTCTATTTCTCTCTGTCTGTCTGGCAAGTGCACACGCCCTATAGCAAAAACCTCTCCAAAAAAACCAGAAGGGTAACCTCGAATGGCCTCTTCAAGGAGGTTAACCTTGGAGCCGAGAGTGGACAAAGGAAGGGTAGTTGTGAGCTCGCTAGTGGGCAAGCCTTCCCTGGGCAGAAGCATGCGGAACATTCTGGAAGGGTGGGTAGACCTGAGGGGCTGGGAGGAGGGCAGGGGCATGATGGCGGGATATGTTGGGCATGGGAGTCCAGGGCAAGGCTGGGGACGTTCCTTCTAAGTCTGATGAAAAGCCATTCTCGAGGGCCTAGCCTGGGAGCTGACAGAATCCTCTTCTGTCTTTTGTTTAACTGAAGGCATGTGCACTCACCAGCAAGTAGAGAAAGTTCCCCTCAGGGAGGTACAGCCACACCACAGTCCTTCCTCCTCCGTTTCTCCTTCCCATCAGGACTTCAGGCGTGCATGCAAGTTCCCCTCAGGGAGGTACAGCCACACCACACTCCTTCCTCCTCCGTTTCTCCTTCGCATCAGGACTTCAGGCGTGCACGCACACACACGCGTGAACGCACACACAAGCACACAACACTCACACTCGATGTGGTTTTCTTCAAGCTGCAGGAGCCGGGATTTGAACATTGGCCAGCCGTGTGAGATCCAGCTCCTAATGCACAAGGTTTGACCGCTGTGCTACAAGGCCAGCTTTCTTCAGTTCTTAAAGTCTCACTCTAGAGGCCAGCAGGTGGCGCAGTGGTCGAGGTGCTGGGCTCCCACGTGGCCAGTTGCCGTTTGAGTCCCAGACCCGGAGACCTGGAGACGAGAATCGCGCTCGGTGCGTGTGCGTGCGTGCCCAAAATCCCAGGAGGAGAATGGAGGAGAGGGATTGCAGGATGGCCATCCCTGTGGTGTGATTTCTCGCTTTCCTGTTCACTGCCTCTGTCTCTCTCCTGTCTGGCGAGCCTCTGTGACCTAAGGCAAAAAATGAACAAATAGAAACTCACTCTTGCTGCAGTGTGGAAATGGACTATGGAAAGGGCACAGGCGGAAGCAACCAGGAAGCAGCGTGGGAATCCCGGAGTGCTCCTGGAGGTGGTGATTAGGGTGGCACCTGGAGACAGGGGGCGCGGCGAGCACGGGATGTATGTGTTGGGATGTACGTGAGGGACATTAAGACCACATTCTAGGATTCTGCCTGAGCAGTTAAACACCCCTTCCGCAGAGGGCTCCGGGGAATGCAGCCGGCTTCCTCCTTACGTTGCCAGGGAGGTTTCAGGCCCTTTCGGATGGCGCCGGGCAGCCGGGCTGATCTGAGTGCAGCTCTGGTTACACACAGCGGGGCACCCAAGTTCCAGGCTGGTTGGAAGGTGGCAGGTGCCTCTTCCTGCCCCTCGGAGGCACTTGGGTATGCTTTCCTGGGGTAAGGGACGAGAGGGGAGGACACAGCCGCCTGTCTTATCCGGGCGCTGTCCCCTCAGGAGCTGTCTGCGGGCACCTGCAGCTGCGTCTCTTGTCTCTCTCGGTGAAGTGTGTGCCGGGGAAGGGGCTACTATTTTGCTTTTCTTCCTACTAACAATCTTTGAATGCTATCGGGTAAACTTGAGGGTACGCCTCGCCTGTGACCTTCACCTGTCGGGGTGTCTGCGTGGGAAGGAAAGGTAAAGCCTGCCGTGGGAGAGGGAGGGCAGGACGTGCTGAGACGCTAGGAGCAGAGCTTGCCCTGGTGTGAAGCGGGAGAACTTGGCGGGGAGAGGTGACACTTCTCTGCACGCCTTCCTGAGCCCCTCCTCAACCCGAGGGTGTCGCCAGGCGCTCCCACACGAGGGGGCTGAGGCCAAGGAAGGCCCTCCTAAGGGAGAGGGCATTGGAAGGGCGAGGAAGAGGGCCAGGACCACAGGGCGGGTGCGTGGGTGCCAGCCGAATGGGCAGGGATCGCCCCACAGATGCCCTTCCCCTTCATTCAGCACACACGGCCAGCACCACAGAGACCCGGCACTGTTCTGGGCCCTGGGGAAGCACGATCAGATTCGAGGCATTCTGTCAAAACGACCTCCGCAATAGCGATGTTAGGGTGGCCGTGGTCGCCGGCTGTGAGACAATCCCCAAACTCAGAGGGAACGCGGAAGAGGAGAAAGCACCCTCTCTGACAGCGAAGAGGGGCTAGGTGCGAGACTTGCCTCGGCCCAGAAGGGTGGGGGCCGGGGGCATCCATGGGACTCAGGGAGAGGAGGGTTAGGGAGTAATTAGGGGGTCCCGGGACAGGACATCCACGGCTGTTTCCTTGTCATCCCTGGGTGGCGTACCTGGCTGCTGTGGCCTGCCGTGTTCTGCCCTCAGCTTCGGTGCCAGCAGGTGAACGTCCCAACTTCATGTCTGAAGGCACGAGCTTAGAAAACACAAGGCCAGCCACCCGTGGAGAGGTCGAGAAAGGACCAGCGAACTTGGAGAGACAGGGAGGAGGAGGGAATGTCTGAAGCACCAGTGAAAATACGCAAGGCCGGCCAGACACCGAGCTACGGCTTCTCACCCGAGGTGCTTGGGAACACCTAACCCTTCCCATCTGCACCTGTCGCCATGGGGCTCTGGGGAAGATAGGCAATGACGGAATACAACAAACGGGGGTAAGAGATGTGAAGGAGGGACCAGCAGATGGCGTAATGGTTATGTCGCTGGACTCCCACGTAGTCAAATATGGATGGAGTCCTGGACCCAGCGACTTCAAACTCATGCCAGGCGCGTGTGCGGGCATATCCAAAATCCAGAGAGGAGAAGGGGTTGTGGCGTGGCCATCCCCTCTGGGGGGTGATTTCTCACCTTCTGACTCTCTCTGTCTCTCCAGTGAGTACATGTGCCCTATAGCAAAAATCTCTCAAAAAATAAAAGAAGAGAGAAGTGAGGGGAAACAGGAGCAGGGATGAGAACGGCGGTGGGCAGACCCGGCTCTCAGCCCGTTGAAGAAGCAGGGAGAACCTGCAGATGAGGCTCTGGGGTCAAGGTGTTGGTGGAAAATCCTGTGATCAAATGAAGATCTGGGGGAAGTGCGGGTTCTGGGGTTCGCTGTGTGCAGTTGGAGGGAGGTGGGGTGAGCAGGGACCAGGAGAGAAAGGCCCGTGGACCCCAGAGCTGCCTTTGCTGGAGGGGGGTTTAGAACCTGCGGCAGCAAGGGTGTGAGCGCAGAGCCCGTCTGAATGGCTCTCGCAATGACTCAGACTCCCTTGTGATTCCTACAGCCACCGCGGGATCCAGTTCCATCGCTGAAAATGAAGACGCCCTTCTCAGACATCTCTTCCAAGGCTACCAGAAGTGGGTCCGCCCGGTCCTCAATTCCAACGACACCATAAAAGTCCATTTCGGGCTGAAAATATCCCAGCTCGTAGACGTGGTGAGTAATCCTCGCCACTGAGCTAAAAAGAACTCGCATTTCTTCGGCGGTGTATGCCTAAGACATTTTTTCCTTCCTTGGGTCTGGCATTTCCATTTTAAAAATAATTTACGGTGAGAGTAAATCTATCCCCCAAAGCCAGTGAAGTGACCCATGGAAAGGAGAAGTCATCACGGAGTGAATTCCCACTGCCACCCTGTTAGTGCGAGGGTGGATGTGGCTGCTAGGCCTCGGCCCTGTGGGGTTTGCTGGGTACGAGGGCAGGCTGAGCCCAGGGCTGAGTCTGTGGATTCCCGACCTCCCCCGGGCTGTGCCCTGAGCTGGCAGGGCCCTTCAGGGAGGATGACGACGACAGCGCCCAGAGCCAGAGCTGTCCCCGCACTCCCTGGGCGACCCTGTGCCTTTCCTAAACTCTCCCATACCTTAGCACCCTGCAGATCTTCCTGTTCTAAGTGTGTCATGAAGGAATTGGTGAACTTTAACTCCCCAAGTACAGCGTGATTGTCCTGCTGTGGGGCAGGACACAGTCCTCCCTAGAGGCTCCAGTTCCCCTCCTCACTCGTGCACACACACCTACCCCAGCTAGCCCGATACACCGGGATTCCTTCTAGAAAATCAAGCAAGCCATGGTCCAAGGTAGCTAATATTCCTTCTAGTTTATATCCTCTAAGTGTCTTCTGGTTTATGTCATTTTACATAAATAGCTCCATAATAAACTTAATTATTATTTTTTATTTTAAACAAAATATGCATATTATTTTAGGCTTACACGCCATTTGACTGTTCTTAAGTAAAAAATCCTTTGCTCCTTCAATACCTCAAAAGTGGGACTCAGACAGGATTTTCTGACAAAAAGAAAAAGTGCAACTTCCTCTCCTGTCCATTTATGGTATGTTTTTAATTGTCATTTGTCAGGATGAAAAGAATCAGCTGATGACAACGAATGTGTGGCTTAAGCAGGTAAGTCTCTATCCGAGCGCTGTATCTGCCACGTAGTCTTTTACATTCCTTTCTATTTTAAAAAGGCTCCCATTGGGACAAAAATTCTTTTAGCAATCATATCATGCTCCTTGAGGAGCTATTTGGAAGTGCTTGGGAGGCTCGATTTTCCTTTTCTTTTGTGAGTGCTGGAGAGCAGACCCTGGAGGCTGTACTTGGCTCGTGTCAGTGTCACTGGGGCTGGGAGCAAGGCTGCTCCAGGGGGCAGGGAGAGGAGACGCCAGCAATGAGGCCACACCTGGCTCCGCCACAGACTCCAGATTCCAGCAGCGTCCCCCTCTGGGGGCTCTGCACCTGGATAAGCACACCAATGACGTGAGGTTCTCCCTGCTCCCCCAGCCCTCCATGGGAAGCTTCCCTGCAATGTCTCCCATTGCCCCTTAAAAGAACTGGGCTCCAAACCAGGACTAGCAGAAGGCTGCCTCCCCAGCTCCAGAGTACAGCGAAGCCCAGAACAGAGCAGCCACCCTGTTTTCCTGATATAACTAAAAATGCACTAAAAATGGTTTTCAGCTTTCTTCTTAGAAGATGGCTTCTAGCTTGGCTGTAGCCTGTTTTCTAAAACCAGAAGAGTCTGCTCAGAGAAGCTTGTTCTAGGGCCACCTGAAAAGGGTCGCCTTTCACAGCTCGAAATGCATCTGGTGTGTGAAGGGAGCATATTGACACCTGCTTGATAGTAGGTGGATTGACTGCTTTTTTGTTGTTATTGTTTTGTTAGCAATGATAGTACCTGTTTTTTTCTCGTGTATTTACTTCTTCCATGAGTGAGAGACAGAGCGAGTGGGGAGACAGAGAGACAGGCACCCCAACAGGGTCCTCACACCTCAGTCCACCCCACCCCAAATTATGGGCAAGCACGTGCACACCTGGCATGTATACAGAGGCCTCAGGATACGAACCCAGGACCTTCCCACATGAGTCCAGTTGCATTACAGTTCTGCCACTGTCTAGTCCCATGGTACTTGGTTTTTAATGAATGCTCCAGTATTACCTAATGTGATTAAAGACCTTCCAGGCAGGGACACCTTAAGCGTCTCGCTGAATTTGAACTTTCTTATCCATAGTACTTTCTGTTTGTTTATGCTGACACGTAGTCGTCTACTTAGTTTTCACAGACGTTGTTCAGGTCTTCCTACTCACGGTTTATAAGGAGCCAGGCAGAGAAGAAACCATGAAGGGATTCTCTAAGCCTCATTTAGTGTCATCGAATTTCTCCCAGTTAAAAACTTTAATCAGAATTAGAACATTATTATAATTGTTATTACTCTCTGTTCCTTTGTTTCTTTAATTGGTAGGTAGCTTAGCGAGTTGGGATATGAATCCATGTATTATTTTACTTACAAATAAAAATATCCAGGACAGATTAACTAGTGGGGAATATATGCATATAAATACAAGTTAGAGATCAGCAGATGGCATAATGGTAATGGTTACATCACTGGACTCCCACCTAACTGATCGCAGTTCAAGTCCCAGACCTGGCAGCTTAAAACTCACGCTGGGTGAGTGTGCATGCATGCCCAAAACCTTGAGAGGAGAATGGAGAAGGGATTGTGGCGTAGCTATGGCCCTGGGGGTGATTTCTCACTCTCTCTATCTCTCTCTCTCCAGTGAGTGCACGCACCTTACAGCATGAATCTCAAAAAAAAAAAAATAAAAAAAAATAACCCTACGACTTCAACAAACGTATCTTCCTCTGTACCTGTCTCATACCTCAGTGATTTGTCCCACTTTTGTGCTTTAGAGTTTGATAAATTTAGAGGCACAAGGGGACTTCAAAACACACACAGAAAAATGGAATTAAAGTACACATTATGCCAGTGCAAAAAATTTTGAAACCCCTGCACAGTTTTCTCATCATTTGAATTTTCCATTAACTTTTTGAAGACCCCCCCTTCCCCATATTTTGAGTTGATAAAGACCCAAAAGAAGTCCTATATTTGAGTTTGCTGGGAAGAGAAGAACCTATGGTTTTCTCGTAAAATGTAAACAGGCTTAGAAAATTCATAAAAACAAACACAGCTGACCCCATGGCTTAGTGGTTAAGGGAAGCTGGATCCCATATGGCCAACCCTGGTTTGAGTCCTGGCAACTTGAAAAACATACTGGGCACCTGTATGTGCATGCCCCAAATCCCAACAGGATAGAGTAAGGGAGAAGAGACTGTGGCATGTCCAAGCCTCGTTGAGGGGGACTTTCTCTCTCTCTGGCAAACACATGCACCTTCTGGCAAGAAATAAATAAATAAAACAAAAATAAATCCTTCCTTCTTCACACACACACCTCCTTCCCCAACTGTTCCTTGAAATCAAAGCTCTTATTAACCTTTAGTATCACACAGTGGTCCAGGGAGCCGTGGCTTTGACACTGAGAAAGTAGACACTTGTCACTTCTCTTGCAATTTTAAAAATGAGTTATTTAAGTCAATCAGAGCAGGGCTGGATCTGAAGGGGCAGAAGCTACAGGCTGCACATTCTGTAGAATTGCTGAGGACAGTTAAAGCCACCTCTGTTTGTGCAGACTGAGTTTGGAGTAGCAAATGCTACAGTGCATATTAGTCAGTGCTATGCTATGGCACAATGTGGGGGCACACAGAGGTAAGTGTTATGGCATGGGTGCAAGCAGGGAAGTCTGCATGGAACAGGAGGCGTTTGAACTCTGCCATGATGTTAGTTTTTTAAGGTTTTTAACCTAAAGCTAAAAGGACAAAAGAAAAAGAGAAAAGGGAAGAGGTGAGGGAAAAGAAATGAAAAAAGGATGCCTAAAAAAATGTTCTCATTGGTGCTTTGCAGAGATCTCAGTTCTAGAGCAGTTATCGATGATCTTCAGCCCACCTGAGATGGAAGGAGTGCTATGCCCAGAGTGTCACGGGGACAATCTCATTTGATTCTCACAGCCACCTCTAAGTTAGATTCTGTTACCGTGTCTGCCTGCAGGTGCACTGAACAGGTGGTGAATTGAAGTGGCTGCTCTGAGGTCACACACAGTTAGTGGAGTCTAGTTTCGCCTCAGGCTGCAGGAGCTGGTGGCCGTGCCCTTCCCTCCTCCTAGTCCTCTCCCTGTGTCGTCTGTTTACTAGTCCTGACCTTCTCAGGCTGTGAGAGGCCAGCATCTTAGGGGATGGTGACATGACCATTCCCCAAGGTGGGTACTTTCTCAGGCTTTGATTCCTCAGCTTCTGAGACAGCTCAGGATGTTTGGTCTAGAAAGATATTTAGGAGAGGATGATGTTAGGATTCACCCCACCTTCCATTCATTCAGCAGAGCCTGCTAGGAGTCAGGCACTTGCTAGAGGAGGGTATATAAAGAGGAGGACCACAGAGCCCTGCCCGCCAAAAGAAGACACCGTGTCACATGAAAAGGAACCGCTGTGGGCCAGCAGGTGGAATGGAGATCAAGGCACCGGATGGCACCTGGCCTACTGTACAGGTCAAGTCCTGGGCCCGGTGGCTTGAAAATCATGCCGGGCACGTGCACATGTGTGCCTGAAATCCAAAGAAAAGACTGTAGAAGAAGGAATTTTGGCGTGACCACCTCCCCTTCATCCCCAGGGGTGATTTCTCAGTTTCCTCCTCTCTGGAAAGCACATGTGCCCTATAGCAAAAAATAAAAAAGCCATAGTAAAAAAAAACCACACACACACACACACACACACACACGTATATATACATGTGTGTGTGATACATGTGTGTGTGTATATGTATGTTTATATATATATATATATATATATATTAATTAGGTCCTAATATATAAAATACAAAATCCATAAGGTCCTGTAATGTACAAACAGGAAAAGGTGCCAGGGGTAATATCAGTGAAGTGCCCAAGGGGTTCCCTGGGTGACTCATCTGAAGGCTTCCCAGATGACTAATCTGGGTCTTACAGGACAAATAGTTCCACAAGCCAAAAACGTGCAGAAGTTGTGAACCCCTGAACAGTGTCCCCAATAACGTGACTTGTTTTTTTTTTTATCAGTGCTACTTTGTCCTCTATTGCCATTGTTCTCTGATATATTTAGAAATTCCTCTTCTATCCTCTTAACCAAAGACCTTTATAAAGCACAAATCCAGTGACATCCAGAGAAAATCTTTTAATGCATGGAGCTATTTTTATTATATTGATTTTATTTTGCAAACTCATTTCTCCCCGTCCTTTGTACTTCCAGAGAGTAATGAAAAGCCGGTACACCATGGACGTGTTATTAACACCGACTCCCCAAAACTAGTGAGGGAGTCCTTGGTGCCCTACCCTCAGGTTCCGCCCGCTGGCCTTCAAGGTCAGAAAAACCGCGTCATAAGCACCCTAAAGGAAGTGAGAAATGAAACCAGTCTTGTTCTAATGACACAAGCTTTGGACCCTTTGCCTAGATATTATCATATGAATAATCACCATGACAACAAATGCCCAATGTACTCAGTCAACGGGCACTTACTGAGAGCCCACCATGTGCTGGGTACCTGTAAGGGGCCGTGGTAAGCTCTGTAGAATTTAAACACCAATACCGCAAGAATTCTAAATGAGGGCCTATCCCCAAACCCAGGGGTGTGGAAGTTGAGGTGCTGGATCCCAATGGCTGACTCCCCTGGTTGGAGTCACATACCCAGCAGCTTAGAAAACATGCCAGGGGAACCAGCAGTTAGCGTAATGGCTATGTCGCTGGACTCCCACATAGTCGACCGCGGTTCACGTCCCGGACCCGGTGGCTTAAAACTCACGCCGGGCGCGCGTGCGTGCGTGCCCAAGATCCCAAGAGGAGAATGGAGGAGAAGGGATTGCGGTGTGGCCATCCCCCCTGGGGGGTGATTTCTCGCTTTCTATCTTTCTGTTTCTGTCTGTCTGTCTGGCGAGCGCACGCGCCCTATAGCGAAAAAACCTCTCCAAAAAAAAAAAGAAAAAAGGAAGGAAAGAAGGAAGGAAGGAAGGCAGGAAGGAAGGAAGGAAGGAAGAAAGAAAGAAAGAAA